CCAACTTCATTCCCCCTCCCTCCCTGATTCATGACTTCCTGATAGAGGATGCTGATATGGATATGCAGTGAAACACTTTTGAAAAAATAAAATGCTTGAGGATACTTTTAGTCCTTTCCAATCTTACATGATTGATTCCTTCTTTTCAGTATTGAAGGTATGAGAAGATCAACGTTTCATTCATTTCTTACCATTACATATTTAATTCCCTACATCATAATGCATGAAAAGCTGTGTTATGTGTTATGCAGAACTTAGCTGGGAGGCATTCTCTAGCTCTATTTTCCTTGTGTTTTAGTTACTTTCCTCAGGAAACAAGAAAAAATACCTTGTCTTGCCTCTCAAGAGTTACTTTTTATCTGGGAGTTGGTCATCTGGCTAGTAGGATGAATATGGTTTCAAGATTCATGTAATAATTTTCCACAAACAATTTTGATCATCACAATTACATATTTAGATACTGCAGAAAATGCAGACCAGAGAGATTGTCATCCCAATTCAGCTAATATTTAGTTGACAGAAATTTTATGATGACATTGTCACAGAAAACACGTGATAGGAAATTACTTCCCACAAACTTCAAATGTAGTGAACCTCATTAGTTCATGGTGCTGTTTCCTAGACAGAATGTTTGCGATATTAAGCATTTATACTCTTTCCCTGAGAAGACACTAATCTGAGACACAGAGGGAAGAAGACCTAGGTAGAAGTCCACTATCTTAAGACCAAAAAAGAAAAGCCAGAGAAGGTCTGCACAACAAACTTTTGTGGGAACTAATGCCTCCCAAACTATGAGGAAGCTCCTTCCTTACAAAAGTTAAGTCACCATAAATTGGGTTCTTTTCTGTCCCTTGGCATACCAGAATTTGAGGAGATTTTATAAAGAAGGAATGGAGAGAAATACATGCTTGTATACTGCACAGGATTTTGACATAGTTGGAATTAGAACTTCATGTGTGGACCTGTAAAGACATGTTTCTCTCACAAGGACTGATGTAATTCAGTGGGCAGCCATATTGAATTTGCTGAGATTCTGTTGGCTTGGCTTCCAGTCTGTCTTGTCAGGATCCAGGCATGCTGTGAGAAACATTACCAAAATTTATTCTCATAACGAAGATAATAATGAGGCTGACTGTAGCAATGTATATTATAGTTTCTCAACAGATGACAATCATATAGTCATATCAATTGATGGTATTTTATTTGAATATGCTGTATCAGTACTTACCATTTAATTATGAATACTTTATATTTTCTTTTATAACACCACTAGGGATTTGAAGTTAACTTAGATGATACAAAAGAAATGTAATGTGATAAGGAAAAGCATGACTTCTATTGTCAGTCTTTTTGGCTTCAAATCCACATCTATCACTATCATTTTGTGTAACATCTTAAGGACTAATTTTCCTCATCAGCCAAGTGGGCAAAATGTTAGTTACTTCTTCACTCATTCACGAATGCTTTCAACAATTCCGTATTGTGTATGTGCTGTATTTCTGTTATGATTTGATAATGAAGCCTTTGGTGTTGTTTGAAAAATTTTACTTTTTAAATTTATTAGATACATATTTCAGGTTTTTATACAAAAAGGAAATGTGCAAAAGTTTCATACCTATGATAGAAAATAATCATGGATCGGGGTTTCAGAGTTCTAGATGGAAGGAAGACAGGAAGAACAGATCACAGTGTCTTTAATAAGGGAAGAAAAATACAAGAAGTGACTGTATGGGTAACATCAACATTCTAGGGTAGAGAAACACACAGTTGAATGTGAGCAGTTAAACGATTTGACATCGCTATTGTCAAAACTAAAGAAATGCTAGAATGGAGTGATGAGAACCAATGTATGGTAAAAGGTATTGTAAAAAATATAACGTGGATCTTCATGCATCACCAAAGACCATATTGACTGAAACAGATATATTTCCATGTTCTCAGCTGGCAGTAAATGTGCCTCCTGAATCTGATGGAAGGATCATATGAGTAGCCTAAATCTCACAACAGTGTGTATCTCCAGCTTCAAGGTATCTGATACCTCAGACCATCAGTGGAACCTGTATTCATATGCACATATACACACCTAATTTAAATTAATGATAAGAGATTTTTTTTCTTAACAGTTCTTTGCAAAACTTTTATGAGTAAAGACTAAAATGTAAAAAGAACAATTGAAATCTGCTTGGATGATTGATACGAGAAACTCTGCTGGGTTGCATAGTGTGATGGTATCATATGTAAGGGGATGCAGGAGTCATCTGGACACATGAAAAGGTGAAGCCAGTTTTGATGCAGTTAGATTGTATAGTTGATATGCTGGGGTAGAAGAAGGTAAGACATTATTTCCTCACAGGAAAGAGTCAGTTTGCATATTATTTCTAGGCATAAGATATTTTCTCCAGGAAGTCACTGGCAGTTCCACTATCAACTGTGTGGTCCTTGTCAAGCAGATGCTAAGAACATGTTAAGGAAGCATGGAGATCAGTTTTAAGATCAACATTAACCCATCTATGGTTCTCCTTCACATTTTATAGGCACAACTGGGGACTGGAAGAATCACCTTACAGTAGCCCAAGCTGAAGCCTTCAATAAAGTATTCCAGGAAAAAATGGCCGGTTTTCCTCCAGGACTTTTCCCATGGGAATGACTTCTTAAGACTTATATATATAGACATTCAGGCTTACTTTACTGCACTTGTAGATGTGAATGATGGCACATGGTCATAGAATAAATCCTGTTACTGAATTGTGGAGTTTTCTTTTATTTTTTTTAAAGATATTAATAGTAGCATTAGAAGTAGTGGTAGTAGTATGGAGTAATGGCAGTTCTAATGTGTGTATGTGCATGTGTGTGTATCTGTGTGTGTGTATGTCTTTGTGTGTGTATGTGTGTTTGTGTGTGTATACATTTCTTCATGGGCCAGAAGAGTTCATTGGTTTCCATGGAGTTGCAGGTACATGTTTTGTAATGCTCATGATTTGTGTTCAAGGAACTAAACTCAGATTCTCTACAAGGGTAATACAGTGCTCTAGAACTCTGAATTATCTCTCCAGCCCTGAAACCTAGAGTTTTGAGTTATAAAATAGTTGCTTCTTTTAATACTGGTTTGGTATACTATCAGCTAACACTAATAGGCTTCATGGAATTTTAGCTTAAAAACATTCCTTGTAAGGACTGGCCCAGGATGATGTTGTGGAATTTGGGGAGCCCACGTGGAGGGCCCTACCTTCCATGGGGAGCAGAGGGGAGGGGGGGGGGGGGGGGGGGGGGATAATACTAGTGGGGTGTTGGGGGAGAGGAGAGAGAGGGAGATGGGATTGACATGTGAAAAATAATTTTGTGAAAATTAAATAAATAAAAAACAGTCCTTGTAATATTTTAAATGTAAAAAGCAGTATGAGAAACTAAGTAATTTTTATTCTGTCACATTTGGGCAAAAGAAAGAAAGAAATTGTACTTAATTTATTGACCTTGAAACCATATTCAAATAACCTATGGTGTCAGACGTTTATAATCTAACATATCTGCTCAGAATTTTATACTTTTATTTCATGTTTTATTCTTTTTTGGTAAATTTCAGAGAGTGTATAAAATAATGGGCTTCAAACTGAAACTTCATTGCATAATACACATCATTGTAATTTATTCAACTTTGCTTCTCTACTGCCTACTCCTGTCCCTTTGCTTCTGTTAATTTTTTCTCCCACAAAGTCCTGGTCTGTTTGAATGTTATAGAGATGCACTTATATTTAAATCTGGATTTTCAGAATGGAGAAAGAATGCAATATGCTCTTTCTCTTTATGGTCAAGCAGGAATGTTTTTTCTGATTTATATGATGGAGAATACAGTTAGTACCATCTGGAAGAGTCCAGAGCAGGAAGAGAAAGTATTACATTGAACATGGCCCTCAGAAGATGTCAGGCAATGATGTAGGGGGCAAGAGAGGAGGACCAACAAAGAGAGAGCCTAGATAGATAGATAAATAAATAGACATAGGGAGAGAGAGGGTGTCCAAGAAGACCAAGAGAACCAAGAGGGTGCATCGTCAAACTGGCAGGGTATTATAGGAACCAGAAGCTGGGGAAGGGATCCCTGTGATCTGCAGAAGTTTAGGGTAGACCTGGGTGAGAAGAGCTGAAATTAACCAGCATACAGACCCCTATTCAGACTCAGTAGCAGGTACTTGTCCATGGAGCTTGGAGAACAGTATGCACTTTGGTATGGTAATAGGCCCCACAGTTATCCATTTTCCCTGAGTTTCTTTGGGGCCTGGCAATACAGACTATTTGTTGATGAAAGGGCCAATGCAATCTATTCTGTGACTCCTTCACATCTAAAATTGAAATATTGTCTGGATTTGGGAATTTTGTAATGCTACAAAAAGGTTAGGTGGAAGGAAAGGAGTATAGACTTCCCAGTAACTATCTGACCACTTGGTACTAGCAAAATGCAGGGAGCTTTAGAGCAGTCTGAAAATTGTGGTTAAAAACAAGGCTTGGGCCAGTTAGAAATTCCATTGGCAGCATCCAGTTTACATTACTTTTTACATATCTAGGGCTGACTTCGATTTGGAGCAGTTTACAATCTTTACATGATTAAAAAACTGATGGAGAGAAAAGGATGAAAGAAAGGCTATAATGTTTAGGAGCTTACTGGAAAATATTTTCCTTGTCTGTGCCCTTGAAACTTCCAGACCTGCACTCCTTGTAGTTGGTGTATGGATGTAGTCTAAGAGTAGGGGTAGCAGAGAGTTAAAGTGAGAAAGAATCCACTATACCCAGTAGGTAGGTGTGGAAGCTTAAGCAGCTGATTGACAGGATACACATAACTGGTGTCTCTTTGACAGGTGACAGGTGGATCCAATCCTTGAAACTTACATAATTTTTTTAAGTTTACAAAGAGATAAATAATTTGGATATATAAGCATTGGGACTACTTATAAGCTGTACTGAAATTCTCACTGTAAAGGAAACAGTTAACAGGCATCTAAAGCAGCTATAGTGGACTGTAGTAGACTCATGCCTTAATGTCACAGCAAAAACTGTCCTTTTGGGTCAAAAGTACGAACATTTTTTCCTCTATCCAGAGGTATGGACATATAAAGATTAGAATGAGATGCTTTCAGCACAGTGAGAAGCACTTTAAATTGGTACCTTGAAAAGAACAAAAGGAATTTAAAAATTTTTGTGTTGCTGGCTTCTTTCTAGCCCGGTACTGCCACCATCCTCAGCCCCAAATAAAAACACAGAGACGTATAGTAATTATAAAACTGTTGGCTGAATGCTAGGGCTTCTTATTTGCCATCTCTGTCTTAATTATTAACCCATTTCTATTAATCTAAGTATTTCCATGTGGTCTTAGTAGAGAAGGGTCCAGACATCTAAGTCCTTTGGCAGTTACACTTTATCTCTTTGTGGCAGGCTTTTGCTGCCTACCTTTCCCAGAATTCTCCTCATCTCCTAGTTCTGCCTGTCTCCCTGCCTCTATTGGCCACAGTCTTTTATTCATCAATGAATAAGAGAAACATATACAAAAGGACATTCTCCATCAATTTGAGCTTGTGACTATTATAATAGTTAATATTTTATCAGGGCTAGATCAACAGTTATTTAGAATTCCTTTGATTAATGCTAAAACTCTAAACCTTTAAAATCTTAGTATAATAATAGCATAGAAAGAAAGAAGGAAATATGAAACATTTCTCATTTTTCCATACCATTTACACTCCATAAATCACTCTCTTAGATGCTCTCAACTAAAGATGTCACATCCTCAGACCATTACAACTTGCATTTACACACTTGAATTTACTTCCTTAGATCATCTGCCTTACATATTGTTTCTGTTTCTGGGAAGAGATAATATAACCATGGCAACTCTTAAAAGGGAAATCACTTATAGTTTCATAAGTTTAGTCCATGATCATCACGGTGGGAAGCACAGAGGGACGCAGACAGAAATGGTGCTGGAGAAGCAGCTGAGAGTTCTCCATCTTGATCTGCAGGAAAGAGGAAGTAAACTGTCTCCCACACTGGGCACATAAAATCTCAAAACCTCCCCTCATAGTGAAATACCTCCTTCAACAAAGCTACACTTCCTAATACCTCCACTCTCTATAGGGAAAGTATTCTGAGGAGGTATCCTAGCCTGAAGGATGGAAAACTGCTAGGGGGAACTGATTCCTGTTGGTGCCTGTGCAAAATTTCAGCCCAACAGACAAACTAACTAGGCTCCAATGATAGCCTTGCTATGGGCAATATAGTCTAACAACTTTGAACTGAATAAAACCAGAAGCCTTTCCACCAATAGAGTAAGTTCCACAACACAACATAATGAGAGGAACAAACCAGCAAGGAAGAGATATTAACAAACATTATTTTTGTTGCAGTTGTTGTTATTTTGTATTTTAAGTGTATTTTTTAAATTTCCTTTTGCATTCCAACCATATTTATCCCTCCAACCCCTCCTACTGCTCCTTTGCATTCCCCAAACAACCCTCCTCCACTCCTCCCAATCAGTAAGGGCTCCCATGACGGGTCAACAAAGCCTGGCCCATTAAACTGAGGCAGGACCAACACCCTCTCCCCATGCCTTAAGGCTGAGCATAGCATCCCAAAATAGGGAATCGGCTCCAACAAGCTAGCTCAAGCACCAAGGATAGATGTTCTTCCTACAGTCTAACTGATGTTATTGTATTTTTAATTTTTCATTTGTTTATGTCTCATTTTTAGGTTAGTATACAGACTGGTGCATTTCAGATGTTCTCAAACATGTGTGACACTCTTCTTTGTCTTTTGTATATTATTATCACCTTAAAAATTTAAATTATGTGTGAGTTTGTTAGTGTGGGTTTATGTGCACATGAGTGAAGTGGCCATGGAGGGCGGAAGTGGTGATCATATCCCTCGTGGAGCTCTGGGAGATGTGATCAGCAGGAAAATCACCTGTGTTCATCCATTCTACTCATGGTCCTAGAAATCCAAGAGTTTACTCCCATGGCCTCCAAATAAAAGTGGGGCATTCTTGGCTAACATAAACAAAGACTGGATCTGGATCTATGAAAGCAGCCAGTGACCACATGCAGTAGGTCAGAAACAGGTGCATTCAGAAATATGTTTAGTCCACTGTTTCGAAAACTTGGAGCCTGAGGAAACAGCATGACAGGTAGAGAGAAAATATTAGGTACTATCCCTGATGCACAGGAAGTTTGGAACAAATTTGCAAATGCTGGGAAGACATTATGAGTAAAACATGGAGACTGTGGAACTATTCCATCTATTTTCTTCCTCCTAGGTTTCCCAGTAGAGGACATCACTTCAGTAGGATCACATCCCAGTATGCTTCCACATCCGCCAGTGCCTGGAGTTCTCCAAAAGATCCAGCCAATTCACGAAACTTAAGCCTCCATATTTTCCAGGTCCCCAGATTGCATTCGGATTTACAACTCTCTTCATATACACAATTGGAAACAGGCTTCCAGGTGCCTCCAGATCCTGCAAGGAAGTTAAGTCTGCATATGCCTCAAAGTCCCCTAATGCACTCAGGAGTTCCCATGCAATCAAGCCTCCAAAATCATCCATCCTATATAGGCTAACAGAGTCTTCAAACATCACAAAGTCCCCTACTTCCTCAAGGAAATAAAGTGC